CGGCATTATGATATATTCTCCTTCTTCTTACTGTTTTTCCTTTTTTTTTTTTTAAGGGTAAGAACTATATACAAAGGGAGTTAACAGAGGCTTATGAACGTAGGTTAACTTATGAACTATCAAGTAACAAAATAGATTTTTTTTTTAACAAGAGAATGGACTAACTAAAATGAAGATAAAAGTAATATAATGAATAACTATTAAGAGAACAACTTTGATTTCTCTCACGAACAAGAAGATCCGAGGAGAGCAGTTCAAATCTGTCTGCAGCCTGAGGCTGTTAAGAGGAACTGGCTGGAACTGGACCAAGCGGCACAACAGAGCGTGAATGCCACGAGATGCCCTTCATGCATGTGCGGTCCTGCCAATCTCCGTACTGTGGCGCCAGGGCAAGCCCAGCGCCTACAGTGCAGCACCCACGGGGACATCACTCAAAGAAGAATTTGACTTTAGCAAAGCTTTTGATATGGTCTCCCACAATATTCGTGCTAGCAAGTTAAGGAAATATGGATTGGATAAACGGACTGTGAGGTGAATAGAAAGCTGGCTAGATTGTCAGGCTCAATGGGTAGTGATCAACGGCTCAATGTCAGATTGGCAGTCAGTTTCAAGCAGAGTGCCCCAAGAATCAGTTCTAGGGCCGTGTTTGTTCAATATCTTTATTAATAAACTGGACGAGTGGATAGATTGGACCCTCAGCAAATTTGCAGATGACAGCAAGCTAGGGGGAGAGGTAGATACGTTGCAGGGTAGGGTTAGGATTCAGTATGACCTAGATAGATTAGAGGATTGGGCCAAAAGAAATCTGATGAGGTTCAACAAGGATAGAAGAATCCCAAGCATTGTTACAGGCTGGGGACTGACCTGGGGATTACAGAGGATAAGAAGCTGAATATGAGTCAAGAGTGTGTCCTTGTAGCTAAGAAGGCTAATGGCATATTAGGATGCATTAGGAGGAGCACTGCCAGCAGATCCAGAGAAGTGATTATTCCCCTTTATTTGGCTCTGGTGAGGCCACATCTGGAGTATTGTGTCCAGTTCTGGGCCCCCCACTATAGAACAAGGATGTGGACACACTGGAGAGGGTCCGGTGGAGGGCAACCAAAATGAGCACATGACCTAAGAGGAGAGGCTGAGGGATTTGGGCTTATTTAGTCTACAAAAGAGAAGAGTAAGGGAGGATTTGATTGCAGCCTTCAACTTCCTGAAGGGAGGTTTCAAAGAGGATAGAGAGAGGCTATTCTCAGTAGTGACAGATGGAAGAACAAGGAGCAATGGTCTCAAATTACAATGGAGGTGGTCTAGGATGGATATTAGGACAAACTATTTTACCAGGAAGGTGGTGAAGTACTGGAATGGGTTACCTAGGGTGGTGGTGGAATCTCCATCCCTAGACGTTTTTAAGTCTTGGTTTGACAAAACCCTGGCTGGGATGATTTAGTTGGCATTGATCTTGCTTTGGGCAGGGGGCTGGACTCGATGACCTCCTCAGGTCTCCTCTAGCCCTATGATTCTATGATTCTAAAGTGCCAATGTGCAGCTTGTGGAAAAAGCTAGAGTTCCTAAATACGCGGGCATCATGTGCCTTCCCTGACCACCTGATGTAGACATCAGCGAACTGGCCTCGATGGTCCACAATGGCCTGCAGAGTCATGGAAATGTAGCCCTTGCAATCGATGTAATCCAATGCCCAGTGGTCGGGAGCCTGGACGGAGATGTGGATGCCATCAAGAGCTCACCGACAGTTGGGGAAGCCCAGGGTGGCAAAGATGTCGCTGATGGGGTCCACTTCACGCAGGACAATGAGCTGGCACAACAGTATGTGTTGATGGCCCTCACCACCTGTAGAAGGAGAGAAACAGAGAATCACAGGGTTGCCAGGCTCCTTGGCAGGTCCCCAAGCCCAATCTCCTTCCTCTTCCGCCCCCGCTCAACACACACACCAGGATCAACCCCAACTTGTCCCACTCTTTCTGCAGGCCTTGGTGAGTGTGGGACTGAAAACCCTTCCAGGGTGGGAGCCTCCTCCACCAACACAATTAGCCCCTCTCCACTCCTTGGGGAAACCTCATTCCAGCTGTTCATCACCCTCCCGGAACAATGGCATGAGGAAGTCATACCTGCATGACCACAACTCTGACAGTCAATCTCCTCATGCCAAACTGATTCCCGACGGATCGGTACCTGTCCGGCGCGATGAGCTTCCACAGTGCAATGGCGACCCACTTCTGGATGGAGATGGTGGGTTGCATGTGGGTGTCCCATCGCTTGAGGGTAGGTACGAGCCACTCACACAGCTCCAGAAAGGTGTTCTTCCACATGCAGAAGTTTTGGATCCACTGGTGGTTATCCTACCAATCCAGGACAATCTGGTCCCACCAGTTGGAACTGGTATCCTGGAGCCAGAAGTGGTGGTACAAAGTGTGCAGGAGGGGTTGAGTTGCAAGAGCAGTGACTGGAGAGAAGAGAGGAGGTGCCTTGTACTGAGGTAGAGGGCCTGCTCTTGCAGCACCATGAGGGCATCCTGCAGAATCTGCACCAGGAGCTGCAGCATAAACTATAAGGGCCGTCGACAGCTGGGACTCAGCTCTGGTTCCGTAGCTGGGAGTGCTGTGGTGTCCAACAGGGAAACCAAAGCATGCTGTGAATATGCTTTGCTATCCCCCAGAAAGGTAGCCAAGCAGGAGGAGAAGCAGAGACATGGCTGTTCCGGGGGGTGGGTCCCTATAAGCTCAAGCCTCACAAAGCCTCACGAAGCAATTCCAGAAAGTAAGTGCTGTCCTGATGCCCTGTATTTCCAGGTGGCCTTATATGCAATTCTATGTCTAATCTGTGTGGACAGTCTGTTTCATAATAGCTCAGGACTATTTCAATGGCTGTTTGCAGTGTAGATGCACTATTTCAAAGTAACTATTTTGATAGCTTATTTCAAAATAAGCATGCAGTAGACATAGCCTCATTATATTCTCAGCTGTCCATGGACATTCAGTTTGCAGAAGTTGCAAAAAAGTGGATTTTTTTTAATCTACACTCTGCTAGAAGGCCACAACCATTTCTTTCAGACACAAACCTTGCTTCCATTATCCATGTTTTTGCTTTTTCAAGATTAGACTATTGCAAAATCCTACACAAGAGGCAATTCATGAGAGATGTTCTTTGTCATGTCTGAGCACAGGGTATGGACTAAACAACCTCTCAAAGTCCTTTCCAACCCTATATTTCCATGATTTGATAATATAACTTTAGCTGTAACTCTTGCTAAACAAGTTGCAATTAGCCTTTACAACATAATGATTAATAACCTATTTAATTTGCTGCAGATAATTTAATCGTGTGCTAATACCTTTTTCATCTTTGAAGTAAGAATTCATTCTCTTAAAAATGATCTTTAGATTTAAATGGTACAAAACATTGAGCTGATGGATTAAATATAATTAAAGTCATTGTGAAGAAATCAAACAAACTCTAGAAATACACAAGGGGAATATTTTATACAATATACCTGACTGTCATTTTAATTCCAAGCTGCTGCACAGATGAAAGGCTTTCATTCTTCACATTTACATCAGCAGCTAAAAACAAAAGAAAAAAATACAAGAATGTAAAAAAAAAAGCATTATAATGATGATTTTAATTGAAAAACGTTGAAAGTCATATTTTTACATATTTTAATGCCAAGTCCAGAGCACTGTCGATGAGCTTCCACAGTGCAATGGCGACCCACTTCTGGATGGAGATGGTGGGTTGCATGTGGGTGTCCCATCGCTTGAGGGTAGGTACGAGCCACTCACACAGCTCCAGAAAGGTGTTCTTCCACATGCAGAAGTTTTGGATCCACTGGTGGTTATCCTACCAATCCAGGACAATCTGGTCCCACCAGTTGGAACTGGTATCCTGGAGCCAGAAGTGGTGGTACAAAGTGTGCAGGAGGGGTTGAGTTGCAAGAGCAGTGACTGGAGAGAAGAGAGGAGGTGCCTTGTACTGAGGTAGAGGGCCTGCTCTTGCAGCACCATGAGGGCATCCTGCAGAATCTGCACCAGGAGCTGCAGCATAAACTATAAGGGCCGTCGACAGCTGGGACTCAGCTCTGGTTCCGTAGCTGGGAGTGCTGTGGTGTCCAACAGGGAAACCAAAGCATGCTGTGAATATGCTTTGCTATCCCCCAGAAAGGTAGCCAAGCAGGAGGAGAAGCAGAGACATGGCTGTTCCGGGGGGTGGGTCCCTATAAGCTCAAGCCTCACAAAGCCTCACGAAGCAATTCCAGAAAGTAAGTGCTGTCCTGATGCCCTGTATTTCCAGGTGGCCTTATATGCAATTCTATGTCTAATCTGTGTGGACAGTCTGTTTCATAATAGCTCAGGACTATTTCAATGGCTGTTTGCAGTGTAGATGCACTATTTCAAAGTAACTATTTTGATAGCTTATTTCAAAATAAGCATGCAGTAGACATAGCCTCATTATATTCTCAGCTGTCCATGGACATTCAGTTTGCAGAAGTTGCAAAAAAGTGGATTTTTTTTAATCTACACTCTGCTAGAAGGCCACAACCATTTCTTTCAGACACAAACCTTGCTTCCATTATCCATGTTTTTGCTTTTTCAAGATTAGACTATTGCAAAATCCTACACAAGAGGCAATTCATGAGAGATGTTCTTTGTCATGTCTGAGCACAGGGTATGGACTAAACAACCTCTCAAAGTCCTTTCCAACCCTATATTTCCATGATTTGATAATATAACTTTAGCTGTAACTCTTGCTAAACAAGTTGCAATTAGCCTTTACAACATAATGATTAATAACCTATTTAATTTGCTGCAGATAATTTAATCGTGTGCTAATACCTTTTTCATCTTTGAAGTAAGAATTCATTCTCTTAAAAATGATCTTTAGATTTAAATGGTACAAAACATTGAGCTGATGGATTAAATATAATTAAAGTCATTGTGAAGAAATCAAACAAACTCTAGAAATACACAAGGGGAATATTTTATACAATATACCTGACTGTCATTTTAATTCCAAGCTGCTGCACAGATGAAAGGCTTTCATTCTTCACATTTACATCAGCAGCTAAAAACAAAAGAAAAAAATACAAGAATGTAAAAAAAAAAGCATTATAATGATGATTTTAATTGAAAAACGTTGAAAGTCATATTTTTACATATTTTAATGCCAAGTCCAGAGCACTGTTTTGTATCTGAAATGTTGTCAGTATAATCTCTGCAAAGATTATTATAGGAAACTGAACCCTTTGATAATTTTTTAAAAATAAAGTCGGAAAAAAAGCAATTACGTGCATGTTTTTCTTGATCACAATCAGTGTTCAGCACAACCAGAACAAGCAACTAGTTGGGCCCTACTCATTGATACTTACATTCTTACTTAGCATAACAGCCTCTGTATGGTAGATGAAACAGACAAAACTGTATCTCCTGTTCCAATTCCTTCCCTTCAAGCAGTATGGGATCTCACAAGTTGTAAAGCCAACCTTGCTGGCTCACAGCGTGTTGTAAATCTCAAATACATTTAAAATATTGAACTGAAAGGGACCTAAAATACTTTTATTTATTGTTCTGAATGAATATAATATATTCATCTACTTTATGCACTTTTTATAGGATTAAAATTGGTAAAATAGATCAAAAAAACTAATAAACTACATGTATTAATAAACACCCTCTGGAAATGTTATTTTATCACACATTTAAATCCTAAATGCAAAAAGACGTAACAAAAGGATATTCTCTCTCACACATATGATAATCAAAGACAGTGCAGATTCCTCACAAAAAAATTAGCATGTAATAAATGTTCTGAGTTGCTAGGGCCCAGGATCAGACAAGTTCTTATTTTTGTTTTCTAGTTTAGTTTCTGGTCCTGTTCCGAAAGTGTTAATGAATTTACACTAAGCAGGCTTCTGTCATCTCTTTAACGGGTGATAAGATTCTGTTACAATATATTATTAGTTTTCACATTTTTAATACATATACATATTTCAGCAGAAACCAATATCTATCATTTTCCCAAGATGTAAGTGATAATTCTGTGAAGGATCAGATCATTTTCTAATCTGATGGTATGTTCACCGATCCCACTTAAACAGGCATAAGACACCAAGCTAAAGGAGCTATTAGTACCAATTCAAGTGAGAAGTCTAGTTTCTCAACATTCAAAACAAATGGCAGAATATCTATGAATTGTCAATTAGATGGAGAGGTGATACAGGTGCAGAAATTAAACTGAATGAAGAAAATAGGCTAGGCTTTGGCAGTATTTTCCCATATGTCTAATCTAGCAAAAGAATTAAACATAAGGGACTGAATCACTTTCCTTTCATAGTTCACAGGAAACAAAGAACTATACTGAATATGTGTAATCCTATTTTAAAAAAGAATGAAATGGAAAATAGACATTTCTTAATCCATACATAAATGTCATGATTTGATAAATGTCAGGATTCTACACATATCCTTAAAACTCATACTGAGAATAATAAAATATATGGCAATAATGAGTCAAATGATATTTCTTACTCTTTGACTCCATTAGACTGGACAAATTAATAGTAGGGGAGAGATATCTTATTAGCTCTTTAGTTGAAAATATGCATTATTTAGTGCAATTTGGTTCTTTACAAAAATGAAATACAATATTCTTCAGAGTATCTTTGTAAGCCAAAGACCAAAGTCAACCCTGACAATGAACAGTTTAGCAGCAACGGAAATAGGATAAGTTTCATGAGAATTTTTTCTGCCCTTTTTTAAACCTGAAAACATTTTTGTCATCTGTACCCCACACATATAATTTCTGAGACTGCCTTGCTCTTTTTTGTTTCTCACTATGGATTCCCAAACTATTCCAATATGCTTTTACTGTTGCCTTAATTTTTTTTTCCTCTTTCCTTTCTGGGATTTCTGTGTGAACTCAAATTCTCTCCTTTCCTCACCGAGATCTCTCAGTTGTCTTCCATTAGCTATTATTTATCTCACTGTTTTAGTTCTCTTCCATTTTTTGCAGAATATTTAAGTAATGCCCAGACAAAATATAGCCATATAATGATAACAGACGTTAGCTAAACGAGTGACATTACAGTGTAACAGTAAAAACAAAATAAAAACACGAATGATTAGCAACAGTCAGATAGCAGACTGAAAAGGCAAAATTACTGCACTGATAGGTCTGGAATGAAAAAAATAGTAAGGAAGAGTTTTCAAGAAAAATGCTTGGTGAATTCAGGACTAGAGTGGATAGAACTGAGTTTGTGACATTAACCTGTCTGAACAGGAAATTTAGGCTGACGTCCTTGAGATGTTACCTGTTAGTTCAGTGGGAACTAATCAAGTTTAAAAAAGATGACATCACACCATACTTTAGCACATAGAAGAAGTCAATTAACTGAATATGAATAAATCCAGTTATTCATTAAGATATGCATGTTAGTTTTCTAAGCTACATGAGCGGTCAGCAGCCTAAAGAGCTACAATGCCATGTAGTAATGGAGGTCATACTTTGATAAGTTTCCATGCTGATAAAATATAATAAGTAAAACTGACAGAAACAAACACAGCTCCAATGCAAATAAATGTTCCAGCTACTGAATCCTCAGCAAACATGGAATTAAACGTTCTCAGCTCAGAGAAAATGGGTCCTAAACCTGATGGAGGGCCTCCTCCACACAAAAGAGCCAGGATTCCACAAAATACTCCACAAGGAACACTCAGGATAATCTCTGCTCAGATTACACTTTCACATAGGCCTAGTCTACATGGGGGAAAAGCCCACAGTATGTGGTATGCAGCAGATCTGTGAACAGTCTAAGGGTACGTCTAGACTACATGCCTCTGTCGCCAGAGGCATGTAGATTAGGCTACCAGACATAGGAAAATGAAGCGGCGATTTAAATAATCGCCGCTTCATTTAAATTTACATGGCTGCCGCGCTGAGCCGACAAACAGCTGATCAGAGCGATAGTCTGGATGCGCGGGTGTCGACATCAAAGGTATTTGTCGACCACCCAGGTATGCCTCCTGGGATGAGGTATACCTGGGTGGTCGACAAATACCTTTGATGTCGACACCCGCACACCCAGACTATCGCGTTGAGCCGACAAACAGCTGATCAGCTGTTTGTCAGCTCAGCACGGCAGCCATGTAAATTTAAATGAAGCGACAGAGGCATGTAGTCTAGACGTACCCTAAGTGTGCACATGGGGAATTAGTGCAGAGAAACTAATGGACTTTAGGGCACACTCCAAAGTGCCTTAAGCTAATTATTTAAAGTGCATTTCAGCTAAAATCTCTTCAGAGAAGCATAGCAAGGAGCAGAAATGTTCCCCCAAGATCTTCAAGTGGGTACTAGGTAATCTTGGCAGGAAGCATCTACTCTAACTCCCAGAAGGAACTGTCTGATTTAAAAGGTTTTCCCCCAAATATTCCTTAATTGTACGCCTCACAGTAATTAAGAACTAAGCAAGTCTGTTGTCATTTCAATCCCCTTGAGAATAGGTGCACTTACAGAAAGTACCTCCTACATCTCTAAAAAGCCTGTGGTTCCATTTAAAAAATCCAAAAAGCAAAAACAATATAAAAATACCCCCAAAATAAGAAAAAAATCTGTAAAATTATTCCTCCTCAATTAGCTCTTTCCTCTAGGTCAACAGTGGGCAAAAGGGCCACCAAGTCGGTTGATCTGGCCTGTGAAGGTCCTGCTGCTCCCCTATCCCAAGGCCAATCAGGGCCTAGGGACTGGGGAGTGTGTGGCATTTAGGGCTTGTCTAAAATACATTCCTCTTCCAAAAGAAGAATGTAAATGATCCCGATCGAAAATGCAAATGAAGCGCGGATTTACAAATCTCACATTTCATTTGCATAATTGCGTGAGAGCACTTTTTCGAAAAAGGGTTTTTTGAAAAAGAAACCGCAGTCTAGATAGGGTTCTTTTGAAAAAAAAAAAAAAAAACCTTTTTTCAAAAGAACAAATACTCCTGAAAAAATTAGGTATATGGGTTCTTTTGAAAAAGGGTTTTTTTCCCGAAAGAACCCCATCTGGACTGCAGTTTCTTTTTTGAAAACCCCTTTTTTGATAAAGTGTTCTTACGTGATTATGCAAATGAAGTGCGAGATTTGTAAATCTGCGCTTCATTTGCATTTTTGATTGGGCTCATTTACATTCCTCTTTCGAAAGAGGAATGTAATTTAGACATAGTCTTAGTGTCAACCCTGGCAGTTGATTCTAAGCCCTGCGCTCCCAACGGCAGGGAACGAGAGATTGCTTGCAGGAATGAGGCAGGGCAGGGCAGGATGAGACTTCATGTGCTTCCTCTGCCCAATGTTTTTTATAGCATGCCCGGCAAACTCATTCAAAAACTGAAGTATTTTCATATTCAATGTGGTAATTGATTTTAAGCAGTCATGTGTTGTTTTACATTGCTCCTGTATGCACACACAAACAAAAATATGGACAGTGCTCTTTTGTCAAAAAACATTAATGATGACACAGTATGGGGCAGTGGGTTCTTAACCCTCATGGCAACAGCATCCAGCCAGGGAAAAAAAATGAAACTGCGGCATGCATGCCTAAACGAGTGACAGCATTGTGGATCCTGAGGTGACAAGGTTTGGGTAGTAATGTGGACTTTATGAGAGGAATAAAAATAGTTAATTCTTGAATTGTAATGCCAATATAATAAGAAGCTCCTCAAATACACAAAATGCAGATGTTAGGATAATAAAAATAAATGTACAGTGCATGTCAAAATCAAGGAAGTGACTTGCTTTTTGTATTCCTTCAACCCAGATTTCTTGCTTCCTATGCACAAGAACTCCCCAAGACAAAGAAACGGCTTCTTCCTCAGAGAAAACCCATTTCCGGGGAATAAAAACTAAAGAAATTCCAGTTAGCAGCACTAGCAAGACTATTAAAATGTGACTCAAGTCTCACAAATTCATTTTCTAAAGTCTTTTTTTTTTAATAATCATTTCCTGTGATTTTTTTTTAAATAATAATTTCCTGCAATGTTTGTCAATGTTTGTTTTCTGGCTTATCAGACTCTCATTTACTCATGTTGAAAT